ATTATACTCTTTCATTGAATTTCCAGTATATCATGCAAAATTTGGAATCTTTATGCAGTACACTTTAATTAATGATATTTTCTATCTTCAATTAAACTTCCAATAACCACATAAACACTATCAAATTAGGCAACTAGAGTGCTTGTGATGATTGCTTGCGATAACCGCAAAAAGGGTTCTTGAAGGCTGTGTTGGGTCTCTTCGGGCTTGCCACACTGAGCGAGCAAGCGAGAGAGAGAAAAAAAAAAGCGTAGAATCCCAAAGCTGTCTTTTAGCATTTGCCTTTGCCTTTTTGTCAAACACTTCATGTGCACACTCGCTCTCCACACATATATCACACCCGCTACAAGCTCTCCGCTCTCTCTCCCCCTCATTTCCCCTTCATCTTTGCCGCAGCTCTGGACAAATTCGTTCACTAGTTCGGCCGTAAGATGGTCCTCCATGAGATTGCCGACCGAAACATATTCCATTGCAAATTCTGAGTCGATGCTTCTTGCACACGTTGAAAGAATAAAATATCAAGACCAAAGTTGTCACATTGCGACATTAACCAAATAGCCTTCGTTTCTCCTGTTACGAAAGAATTGGTGTTCATGGCTGCTTGCGAAGACAGCAACGGCTGCCGCGAGAGCCCGACCTTCATAAACTCCTCCAACATCGGCGGTGGGGACAGCGGCGACATCGATCTGTAAGGATCAAAGAGGAGGGAGAGTGCTCACCAAGGACGTAGATGGGCGAGTTGTGGTCAATGGAATCGAAGAGGAAAAGAGAGAACTTAAAAGAGAGAGGAGCGAAGATCGTGAGACCTGTTTTCTTAGCTGAAGTATTTTGGGTTGAAAATGGACTTATAATAGACCTACTAAGGCTGCGCATGACAACTTGCCAAACAGTGTTTGATTCTGTTCTTTTGTTCCCAGAATCAGTTTGGGAACAGAAATGCGTTTGTTTAATTTTTTGATTCGGCACAATTTTGTCAAAAATTGTTCCAATCGATTTGGAAGCGAGAATCAAGAATCAAAAAAAGTAGCTTCTTGATTCTCGGAACAATTTTGAGAATCAATTTTTTTTCTTCTTCCTTTTCTTGGTTTTTAATTTAGCTTCTAATGTCCGGCCCGAGGACCGCCCTCGCCGGATCTGACGAGAATAAAATATTTTAATAAAAAATATTATTAATAAAAAATATTTTACCGGCCATGACCGGCGACCAGGCCATGGCCATAAAAAAGAAAAATATATATTTTTAATAAAAATATTTTAATAAAAAATATTATTAATAAAAAAAATATTTTACTTGCCATGGCCGGTGACCGGGCCATGGCAAAAAAAGAAAAAATATATATTTTTAATAAAAAATATTATTAATAAAAAAAATATTTTACCTGCCATGGCCGGTGACCAGGCCATGGCAAAAAAAGAAAAAATATATATTTTTAATAAAAAATATTATTAATAAAAAAAATATTTTACCGGCCATGGCCAGCGACCAGGCCATAGCTAAAAAAAATAAAAATGTATATTTTTAATAAAAAATTTTAATAAAAAAATTATTAATAAAAAAAATATTTTACAGGCCATGGCCGGCGATCAGGCCATGGCCAAAAACAAGAAAAAAATATATTTTTAATAAAAATATTTTAATAAAAAAAATATTTTACCAGCCATGGCCGGTGACCAGGCCATAGCCAAAAAAAATAAAAATATATTTTTTTAATAAAATATTTTAATAAAAATATTATTAATAAAAAAAATATTTTACCGGCCATGGCAGGTGACCAGGCCATGGCCAAAAAAAATAAAAATGTATATTTTTAATAAAAATATTTTAATAAAAAATATTATTTAATAAAAAAATATTTTACCGGCCATGGCCGGCAACCAGGCCATGGCAAAAAAAAATAAAAATATATATTTTTAATAAAAATATTATTAATAAAAAAAATATTTTACCGGTCATGGCCGGCGACCAGGCCATGGCCAAAAAAAAGAAAAAATACTTTTAATAAAAATATTATTAATAAAAAAATATTTTTCCGATCATGGCCGGCGAGCATGCTATGGCCAAGAAGGAGGAAAAGAAAAAAAGAAAAGAAAAAAAAGAAAGAAATATTAAAATATTTAAAAATATTATTAATAAAAAGAAATTTTGTGGCGTTACCAAACGCATTTCATTCTTTTTCTATTCTAGGGATGGAATTTTGGGCCGTTAACAAACGCCTTAAAATGCTCGAGAATCAATTCAGGCACGAGAATCAAAAAGAATCATTTCGACTGAGAATGCGTTAAGCACGAAATGGTTGTCATGCGCAGCCTAAAACTCATCTCTTTTGGGTTTTTCTTCTTTGGAACCCATTATGTCTCATATTTCAAATTTAAGGTGACCCACATTAATAAATTTGAGTTAAGATATGGAACGTAACCCAGCCACCAACTTCCTCTCCAACACTTAATATTATGGAACTCTTCTTCCCAAACTCTTCTTCCCATAGATGAAAGCAATCTACTAGGAGGGTGACTAATAGAGAGGTACAATTCTTGCTAGAATGGGTAATCCATCAATGTTAAGCAAGGTCCTGACAATGCAAGCAAAACAAAATACACTTCCTCTTATTCAATACATATTTGGACAATTTTCAATTCAATGAACTATTCATTCTTCATTATAAGAGTGCAAGGCTCCTCCAATAAGCGAGATTAATTAAATAATTCTTTTCCAAAGTTTCGATATGATAAGATTTCCTACACGACCTATAGATTTTGCTTGTACAACAGACTCGCACAATTAAATAAACACTGAGATTAACAGATCACACGGGTGCACACAACATCAATGCGTCCTCGCCAAGACTCGCGAAAAACGTCTAAATCGCAATTAGTCCGTCCCAAGTTGTGATTGATCGCGACCCAATTCAATCCTTTTCAATACTCGAAAAGAACCTCAGCATCAGTGCCATTGGAAGGGATCCACGAATCATGCAGCTGATGTTAAAGATCGGCGTTTCCGACTAATTAAAATTGATTTCTCTTATTACAAAGAAGCGCCGGAGGTGATGTCACCAAATCACATGAGCATATTCCTTCGGGTGCTTTCTTGAATATCTAGCTCAAAGATCCTCTGCCCCCATCTATACAATACCGGATAATATTCTTGAAGAGACACAATCAGGAATGAAAATAACGGACATGTCAGCTAACTCTAAATTTCTCTCTTTCCCTTGAGTCAATACATTAATATTTTCGGTCTAAGCATATTGGATTGTCATCATCCGGCAAAGAATGAAGCTGCTTTAATGATTCCCCAAAAACATGACGTCAACTGTACATGTCCCACGTTATAACATCTGAAACTGAACATGCTACAGCACAGTAGTTTCTTTAAACAAATGGAGAGAGACAGAGAGAGGATTGCAACTTCACACAATAACCCCTTTTCGAATTTGGAAAAGGTGACCAGTAAAATCAATGCGGACTTAATGCGAAGGATCATCAAAAGACATAAATTACTATGAACATCCTCAGCTGTGGAGCCTACCAACAGATAGAAATTCGAATTTGTTAGGCTTATTAACCATGTCTTTTCTTGTTTCTGATAATAAGACAGCAAACCTAACAAGTTAACATACGCGTGAAGTTTATAATGTGTGCGCGTGATATGAACTTGCTTAACAGTTGCATCATAAAGATGGCGCCAGAAGAACCAGTTGTAAAAACAGAGAACATACACACAAAAGAACAGTGGCGAGGTGAAAAAAGATGCAGATTCAGTACACCGAGCAATTAGTCACATCACAAATCATGAGATACAGCTGAATTGGGCATTAACAAGCATGCCCAATCTGTCATCTGGTTTGATTAGCAAAATGGCACAGCCCACAATACTAGTCACTTGTTTCATCTTTGCAAATTGATGACATAAATTTGTAATTGGAAAGAAGGAAAATCGATTAATGGTTCAGAAGTACGCTTTTTTTACATTGAGAACACAGTCAAGGCAGATGCCCTCGCGTCCACAAGACACGAGTTTACAGGGACATCCCAACTTCAACTAGAGACGTGTGACTCAAATGATCCTTACCTACCTACCATGAGAACAGGACGTGTATCACCAGAAGAGAGATTCCGGATTAAAAATCGGTAGAATATTAGTCTCTACACGCTGGGGGTGACTCATGCTTTATCCTCCCCCCAATAAAGATATTTTTCAGTGATCCTGGAGCACATTTCTATCCCCCCAAACCAAGTACTTCTCAACATATTGAGAAAATTATAATGATAAGAAGAAGAAAGTTCATAAGACTTGGCCCACGGTGATTGAGTTGGTGGACGAGGATCGATCCAATAGCAATTTAAAATCTCTCAGACAATGAGGAAGAGACAATTGGCACTTCTTGTGAGCAATCAAGACTTGAAGCTCTTGACCTGTCAAACTTTTCCATCAGAAACTTACTGCTCTCACCTCTTCATGATGGTTAGTAGAGCAGTAAGAAGTTCCCCAAACAACCGACCAACTACATAAGCTGGTCCCTACTCTTGACCTCGTCAATCACCATCTGCAGGTATCCTCACCTAGTGGCTATGTCCAGGGAAAGCAGAGAGAGCCTAAGAGCATTTCAAGATCTTCTCAAAAGCATATACAATGACCTGCTTTCTGCTAATCCCGCTACCACATAAGCATCTAACTCGTCCTCCCATTGACAGCATCAGAAATCAGAAAGAAAAATTATGAAAAACTTACTGGGGCAAAGTAATTTGAAATTGGACTGCATAGATCTTCGTTGGGTAATTACACAATATAATGCTCTCTTCTGCATTGAAAATCATTATCCTCAACGGAACTGTAATACCATAGGGAGTGATTTTGACACGAATGCTAGGATGCATGTCGGAAATAAAAAAACTAAGTTTATGATGTGTGCCAACATCAAATAAACCGTATGGTCAATCCATCAAAAACAAAATTGTTGAGGAGGATATCAGAGAAATTTTTCAAGTTGAAGCGTCTAAGTAGCAATCCTCCGAAAAAAGAGAGGCATTTATAATAATGCAGTAAGAAGAAATCAATTTCTTGCAACAGTCCTGGACCCTCAGTACAAAGAAAAATGTGACACAACACCTACAAGAGGATACACTCACATTGTCACAGCTTCTGTACTGGGACATGCAACTCTCTGAATCTTTGGCCTATTGTCAGATCAGTGGACCTTAGGACTTCCTTTGATCCAGTCATAAGCAGAAAGAACAAATATAAGAGCGACTTTTATTTAGTCATATAAGAAAAACTACAACAGTTTGAGAAACCAAACCTCTTTCCAAATCCTACAACTGAATGTGAAGCATGAAGTTTGCCAGATGGAATAAAAGCAGATAACATGCTGCTACAGATCTCATTCCTTTGAAATCCGGACGACTAAGCCAGTCGGTGTCTTAACAGTTTTCAGGTGACCTGAGCCAATCAGATCGCGAAGATGAAATCTCATATCGAGGGGAGACAGTCGAAGTCTCTTTTTCTCTAAAGGTGCCAACATCATTTCTTTGTACCTCCTACGGCTTAATAGAGAAAGGAGTTCCTTCCTCCCCTAGTTCAAGAAAGAAAAAAAAAGAAAAATAGTTAGTAATAGTTTATCTAGGTCGCAATCTCTTAGATGGATTTCTTTGTAAATGTTCAGAAGCTCTTTTCACCTGTTTGAACATTAAAATTATATTGAAATTAGAGATTTTAATCTTCCATTTTTAAGTTCTCCAACATTTCCAAGCTAGGGCAAATCCAATAACAATTTTAATGGTTAAACTGACATTAATGCTCTACTGGATACCACCAAGGCTAAAACACCTAGTTCGACCTAGCTGGGAGAAATGCTTAAGTCAATTTGAGATTGAGGAATCTGGGTCACCAGTTACCTGGAGGATAGCCATTATGTTCATCTAACAGATGGAAATTACTCACAGACGAGTGAAAGAGAGAAAGCAGCCTATATGCTCAAACAATTTCAGCATTAGTTGACCATGGAGAAACCATGTATTGAATACACTTCGTGCTCTAGTTACCTGGAAGAATTCAGAATAAGATATGGTCATTATGTATATTGTTAATTGTCTACCTATCTCAACCCAAAGGAGAAAAATCACTAACTATTCTATTAAATCGGAAAAGAGTAATGCTAGATATCCTTAGATTAGTTTACTGACAACACTTACTTTACCAATATAGTAGAGAAATGATTAGTGTTGCAATGTGTTGGCACCAGAATGCTCATATGCTATGTTGGGATTGAGGCACAGGAAAAATATAAAACATGTGTAATGGAACAGAATAGTGCTGTTTATTCCAATACTTTCTACAATGTATTTTTGCAATTTGAGGCTATAATCTGCTCACTCCACTGATGAAGCAAGCCCACATATAGCATTACAGATTAATTATATTCATATAGGATCCATGTCCAAGAGTCTCGACAAAACATAAGCGTCGCCTGTAATGCACCTATGTCCGCCAATTGGGACCAGCTGTGAAGTGAAAAACTAGCAGAGGAATTGAGAAGACGTGACTGACGTATGATGAAGCTTTAAGGTAAAGAGCAGGGATTGGGCCAAAAGAAGGTAAAGTGCAGGATCGAGACATGGGAAGGTATCTGGAAAAAAGATCTCAACTACTTGAATGTTATGTAGGCTATAGATCAGGGCAAAGCAGAACGGCATAAAAAAATCCACGTAGCAACCCAAATTTAGTGGGAAATACTTGATGAAACTGTAGATTTGTATTTAGAGGGTACTAGCAATGGAGATTCTTTAGACTGCATGGATGGAGCTTGTTGTACTTATAAGAGAGTGATTGTTAACTTCACGAAAATAAAAGCACAATCCTTTCCGATTTTTTACATTTAATTATCAATTTATTTAATTGCGTTAGTTTGGTTATTGGAGCTTTTAAACATTTTTAGCCTTTCCTATTAGGCTATTAATTAAACTTTAAAGATGCCAACAATGAAGGAATGACATGCTTTTTCTGTGTACCTGGGAGAGCCCTTTAAGTAATGAACCCACATTTGGAATTGCAAACCAGTACATGCTTGGATCAATAAGTTGGCGAATCTGAAAGTGACCAATAGTGTCAGAAAGAAACATACTTAAGAAAGTCGAACATTGTTCGAGATTACAAAAATAAATCTAGACGGTGGATCAGTAAATCTTTTCAAATTTTGCTGAATCTGGCAGTGTTACATGCATGATGCATTCACTATGGAGATATGTACAAGGAACAGCAAGACATTTATGCTCAACAAAGTCATTTACAAGGGACCTCATATATCTAAATCTAATAAAGTGTAATATTCAAGTAAATTTATCCCAAAAATGAAGTCAATTTTGCTTGACAGTTTCTTCCCAAAGATTACCCAATGTAATGCATTATGGTTTGGCATGCAATAATAATGCAATTAAAGAAAACAAGAAGTACAAGAAACTGTGCTTCTTCCTTTACTTTTTTTCCTTTTGTGTAGAATGTGTCAAAAAGAGAACTAGTTGATTACCATAATTTGTGAACAAGACATACATAGAGAATACTCAGACGTTGTTCGTGCAGCATAAGCTACCCTCAGCTTCCTAAATAGCTTACAGTGTTCTTAATTGTTCCTAACTTGTACATTCAAAATGGTCTCCCTCCTTAAAGTTTACAGCCATAGGACCAAGGACCTTCAAAAAATCGAAAAGGGATAAAACACAGAGAAATGATTGAGGAGGATACATAGCATTTTTAGTTAGGTTGGTTCTGTTTACCGATCACTTCACTTAGTTTCACGTTGTTTTAACATAGACCAACAAAAGATTTAGCAATTGTAGAGAGGTGATCACAATCTGAAAAAAGCAACTATTAGCATATCGCTGACGTGAAACCATCAACATTACAGACATTACTTTTTTATGACAAGACTTTAAAAGAACTTTAAAGGCATTTATAAGACAAAAGGGAATGATGACGAAACAATCACCACATATCCACTTACAATAACTCCTCCATTAATGAGAACAGAGATATGATCGTCTTTCACCTTCCCTCCAAGTGACAGAAGAGAACACTGCCACAAGTAAGTTTATAGTTATGATCATGTGTGCAGAAAGCATGGAGTAAACCAAAATTTGACAAACATTGGGGTTACGACAGCTTGGTCATGGCCATCGTAATCTTAGTTTCAACAGACTAAGCCATCTCGCCAATATATCTTTTCACAATGAAACAATGCTAATGCATGTATACAGTTGGACTCACATGTCTTACCAAGCACCAGAGTTAAATAAAATTCAAGCAAAATAAGAACCACAGCAACTTCACACCAGGCAGCCAACTGAGGCAAAAGATTCAGTCTGCTGCCATGCATCATACCTAGCTAGCCATATCCCTTCATTTATGGATAACGGAGGGGGAAATTTTCCTATCATTAAAGAATCAAACTTATCATGCTAATAAAGCATGATATTTATTTATAAGCACCACTTTAAAAGAGGTTTCACATGCTCATGGCACTTCTGTTCATTAAAGTTGCACAAATAAGCTGTGGACAATCAAGTACGATGTTGACCAGTTTCCAGCTGTGTTTGGACTTTGGAAGCCATTTGATTACAAGGGTGTCACTGTCTGGGCTGGTGGCCCAGTTCCAAGGAGTGCAACATTTACGATCCTCAGCCACAAGCAATAGACCAGGCAACTCAAGCGCATAATGCCTCGATGCTGAGGCGCACACACAGTTTACAGGATCATTTAAAATGAGCAAAAATGAAAGCGAGTTGTGAGAAACAGTTCTACTCAGTTGTATTAGTCAACAGTAGTGATTATTGGGTAGGAGAGTTTGAGTAGTTGAACTCCCTAAAGAACTTCAGGCATCATCTATTCTAGCCAGAGTAAATGTTACAAGTGCTAGAGATGGCACCATCTAAAAATTATGAAAGATAAGAAAAATATGAAAAGTCTAAAATAACCCTACCCTATGTTGACATGTGAATTGAACCAAGGCACTCGCATAGGACTTGTGGCAAAGGAGCACCATATTAGTCCAGTAGAGAAATATAAGTTCGGGTGTAGAAGTTCCCACCTTATAAAGTGCTCTGTTACAGAATCATCATAGAACTCCTTTCATGGATATAAATCATCATAGAGGACGGCATGGAATACTTAGTATATAATACATTTGAAAAATTGGTGGAACTCATGGCACCGGTCTTGGAATCAATCAAAGAAATGAGATAAGGTCTCTAAAATGACAACCGAGATGGAAGCTGGGTCAAGTTTCAACACGACACCTGGTGCGGAGATCAAAGCCACAGACTGCAGCTACCATCTGTTTTCAAAAAACTTTTCAATCCATTTTGATGACAAACTAAAAACACTAGAAAGATCGGTGGACATAATGGAACTGGTCCTTAAATCCATTATGGAAATTTGACAAATTCTCTAACATTAGGATCAACAATGGAAGCTGGGTCAGGTTTCAACAGGATATGTAATGTGGAGATCGACAGTAAAAAACAACTAGCATTTAGTTTCACTAATATTTCGTTCACATTTCCGATAAAACTAAAGGTGACAGATATACCTCTTATATATTCCTGAAGAGATATACATGAAAGTAATTCCATAAAGAAGAGGTAAAAGGATGAGCATGGAAGAAGAGAAGCTACGCACCGATGTGCACGAGACAACTCAAATAAGCTAAAGCTAAAATTGCCAGGTCTCCCTCCCAACTTCTTGTTCAGGCTCATCATAAGTACACTATGGTCTATGTCCAATTCAACAACTCCCAAGATTAAAAGATCTAAAACCAGAAATGAAATGACTGAAGATTGAGTGACTCACAAGGTCTTGGTGTGAAATGTTTGGTTCCAGCCTCATGTCAATTACATGTATCTTGAACCACTCGAAAACTTCAAGATCATGTACATTCTTTTCCTCCATTCTTTTCACAACTCTTTCTATCTATAGGAAGCCAAAGATAAAAACCAAAATCGAAGAGAATATATTAATATGTAGCTTACACGTGACTAAATTCAAAGTGCATCATGCTCAAACTCCACCTGCATAATTCAAATCCTCCAGCTAGGCGCTTTCAACAACATAGATGACAGAGAGTGTCCATTTTGAGTTATAAGAGTACAAGTAAAATCCTATGCGACTCACCTGATTTAAATAATCATCTAAGAACATTATGGCATGATCATCTTGTCCAGTATTCAGTTTGAATATGCGCAAAACCTTTGTCCTTCTCAGAGACTGCAAGAAGTAATTCATATCAAACATCAGTTCAACGAAACTTTGGAAAGCAGAACAGGGGCAACAGACAGAGGATGATTAAAGTCAACGGACATAATGAATGCAAAGTACAAATTGGTCAAGGCATTGATTACACACATCACAAGATAAGTGAGTGCTTTGATAATTAAAAATTTCTTCTATTGGTTGGTTGGCGAGTGTCTTAAGGGAAACTTATTAACGAAATCCACCCACACGTGCAGTCTTAAAAAAAGTGACTATTTTATAAATGCTGAAGCCAGTAAACTTCTTGACAGTCTCTAAGCACAGTTCCACAATGTAAAGCAAGCGATTGGTTCTTTGCGAATTTTTCTTTTTCCATAATAAAAATCATATATTTGCCTTAGCATGATTGCCATCTATTATGCCACCGAAGATGTGGTTATTAAATGAAGAGATCAACAAACATTACCTCATTCTGGATAACAATGTGAGGATGGAAATGTGACTGGGACAAGAATAATAAAGAGTCCAAATATAATATCTCCATGTTCCCATTAATACAGATTACGGCACCTTCAAATGTGTCTGGGTCAAAATCTTAATTACTGAATATCGATATGTTTATAATCAAGATAGGAGGGAAGGTCAATCCCAGAAAGCCTCTGTTTCTGTCCTACATAATTGTGTAACGATCTTATTTGCGATTATCAAATTAGCATGATGTATTGCACTATTTGACATTTTCAGTTTCAATTCAACCCTCGCCGACCTGAAAGTACTAACATCTGTGAAGAGTACTCATCATGAAGGATCTTTCCAATGTAAAAGAATCTCACTGATGTTTCTTCCATCGAGCAGATCGCTGTAACTAAAGAGCCGTTGTTCTCTTTCTTGTTTTCACATATCATTACCACTGCAAGTGACCCCATACTAATCAAAAGTATTTTTCTCCAGCTAGCCATTTTCTGAATTGACCCTTCACCGGTCACACACACACACACACAGATGCAAGTGTACCTCTAACTCTCTATCCACCTGAGTTCTGTCCACAACGCTGCTATACAACTGCGACCGCAATACAAAAGGCCGAACCGAGACCTGAAAACGCAACCAAAATTGCTAAAAAGAAGAAGTAACGGAGAGCAAACATGATTGCCAATACTTGCACACGCAACACAATCAGAACGAATCCCCAACCTTGTCGATGCGAGGGAATTGAGCTCGCATCATGCGAAGCGCCACCAGCGTGTCGCTGAAAGTCAGACTCTGCTCTGCCGATCAAACCCCCTAAGCATCGTCAATCAAACAACACCATCGTCCGGCGAATGGAACGGGACAAAAAGCGAAACAACAGCGCAGGATGATCGGAGATTGCAGCTCACCTAGAGATTCAGATGCGGCGGTTTCAGCGTCATCAGCCGCCGCCGCCGCATCCTCTTCGTCCCGCCGCCGTTTCGTTCCCTTCGATGGCGACGAAGATGATGGCTCTTGCACCGACATGCGGTTTTGGTGTTCGGCTTCCGGAGCTTGCTCGCTCGCTATTCAGTCGAATTCATCGGAGTCTCGCGGACTGGGGGTTCGCGCTAAATTGTGCAGGACACACAAATAGATATTGAATTTTGACTCGATTCCTAAATTTTTAATTTATTTAATGTAGTCATTGAACTTTAACTCGATATATAATATAATTTCTAAATTTTTAATTTATTCAATATAATTCATGAAATTTTGGTACATGGTAAATTTTGTCCCCGAACTATATAAAAATGTTCAGTATTGTCCTTCCATTAATTTAACTTCAGGACAACATTGTCCAGGGACTAAGTTAAATATATAACAAAAATCCGGTGACTATATTGAATAAAGTGAAAGTTCAAAGATTACATTATATATTAAGCAATAATTGAGGGATCACATTAAATAAATTAAAAGTTTGACAATTAGTGACATTTTCTCGAAAACAAATGAGAAGTGAAGGCTCGGTTCTATGGTAAAATTGCACATTAGTCTCGGTTTTGCTAGAGAACTTTTACACTTTGGTCCCTATAGTCTATACTCGTCAAACGGTTGGTCGGGTCAATAAATAATCCGATCTAAATTGATCAATTTATATGCAATATAAAATTTAGCGATCCATATCCGACTTGCACTCTAATTTTCAGCAATTTTTCCTTAAATATGAAAAATAGTATAATGAAAAAAAACTCAATAGAAAAAACAAATTAAACATGAAAAAACACCACATGAGAAAATAAAGAATTTCTATTTTCATGAAAAAATCGTGCCAATAATCAGGATTTATTTTTAAATTAAAATAAAGATGCCTGATTCATTTATTTAACAGCCGAATATAATAAATAGTAACTTGATATGGATTTAGCATTAACAACCCAAATCCAAAAATAAATCATCTAATAGTTGGGATATTACATCAAAGCCTTTTCTGTTACTCCATGTGGCTTGAAATCGCTTCCCCATCAGCCAGTCGAAAACGCAATTACTTTAAAGCATGAGCTATGGGCCTTCTTGGTTGTGGGCATAAATAGTGGGTCCACGATGGGTTCTCCAAAAAACCCATTAAGACCTGTCTAATTTAACTTTGAGTTTTTTCTACTGGTGTCGCCAAATTGGTGGGTCGGATTGACCCAAGGATTCCGTTATCATTTGGACACTCGTGTCCAAGAACCGCGTTTCGTCTAGAACCAGCGGGACTACCACTTAGGGTACATAAGGATAATATCTCCTGTGTTTTCCTTGCAGGAAATTTACGCTCTTTAAATTTCTTCCTTTGCACCTCCTCAGGATATAGGGTAAGTTCCCTGCACTGCATAGGTTCTGAAAATCGTGATTGAATGGAGCTCTTCTTGCTGATTTACATTCCAACTGACAACTGTCTTCCCCTGTTATCTTTTCCTTCCCATTAGACTTGCTCTTTGCTGCTAGCATCCTGCATGTTAGCCTCAGTACTTCTTGTGAAAGGCACAATCTGAGTAGACGGGTTTGGGGTCTCAAGGATGATTTCCTCATCCAATAGTTCTTCACTCCATTCTTTGTAAAACACCTTCCAATAGGGGTTATACTATTGAGCTTCTGCCATGAGTCAAGGATTCTTTGCTGTTCCAAACTCATAGTTGACTGTTATAGCAAAAGTTCCTAAAGTCATTAGTCTTTTGGGACCACATAGTATAAAGGACAACAACTTCACATGTAGGTCCCCACAATCGTAACTAATTGATTAAAGAATTAACTCCGCGGTTGTAGTTTTGTGGAAAGAAACCAATGAAGTTGATTTAATCAATTCAGTCCTCACAATAGCATTGAATTGATTAAACAAGGAGAGGTCCCCACAATCATAACTTCCCTATTTCACGATTCCTTCTCTAGCATGAAAAACCCTTTTTGCGTCTGGACCGAGCCCTAATTTTGCCCTCTGTGCCCTAATTTTGTCGTCAGAGTCCTAAATTTTCCATCCAATTGAGTATGGTAGAGAATATGACAAACCTGAGCAAGTGAGAGTTATAGAGACGGCAGGCGAGTGAGCGACAGCGGGCAAGTGAGCGAGCAACGGTCAGTCAACAAGGAGAGTAGTTCGTATGTAGTAACAGGAACTCAGCGCCCCAATTTTGATCCATCTTGTGCGATGTCGTTTTGGCTAAAGGCTATGCGACGTCATTTCTTTTGTTCGAGCCACGTAGGACGGAAAAACGACATCGTTTATGATGTTCACGTGGACTACGTTTTAAAAATACGGCACGTCAATTTTTTTTAATTATAAAAGCCACGTAATCAATTTAGTTGGAATTTCTCGCCGGTGACACTTAAGTGATTATTTTTTTTTCGATTTGGCACTTAAGTGAACTGGCGGAAATTTTTGGCACCAAAGTGAGCGCCTTACACAACTTTTGACACTTGTAGTATCCTTTTCGCTAAGTTTTTATGTTGGATGGTTCAATGAGCCCATAAATTTAAATAACCAATTACAGTTTGGCATGTCATTTTACAAATTGATCTATCTTAGTATCTCTAGAATTATTTTTAAAAAACATGACCCTTCTAAAATTATGTGTTATTTCCTGTTCTATATGATATTATCACGTATAAAATCTTTCGCAAGTGTTTGTCATGCATAGTGAATCAACTTTTTTTCTTTTCGGTAGAAGCAAAAGTCCTTTGAAAGAAGGGAAACAGTCTTGCTCATTAGCATTAGTAGGGACATTTATCAAGGGAAAATTATCCAAAAAGTCATAAACCTATTACATATTTATCAATTCAGTAATAAACTTTCTAATTTTATCAATTGAGTCCTAAATCTTTTTCACTTCTTGCTAATTGAGCTAATTTTAGCCGGAAATTGCTGACATGGACGCTGGCTGGCCTACGTGGCGCTGATATAGACAATTTTTAATAGTAGTTTAATATTTTTCAAAAAAAATTATTTTTATTTTCTATTCTTTTTTCTTTTTTTCCTTTTTCTTTTTTTTTCCTTTCTTTTTCTCTATTTCTTCCTCTAGCCGGTCGTTCGGTTTCGGCAGTCGGCCAAAGGTGAGGGCCGGTGAGGCCGACCTTGCCCAGCCATGGTGAAGCTTGCCATAGCCGGGCCGGCGAGGTCGAGCCTTGCCCAGTAGCCTCGCCAGAGGGCCGACGAGGCTTGCCCTCGCCAATGGCCAGCGAGGGCGAGGGCGAGGGCGACCTCCACAGCCCTCACCTCTGGTCGGTTGTTGAGGCCCGGCGACTAGCTAGCGGAGGTTTAAGGGGAGAAAAAAATGAAAAAAAAATGAAAAAGAAAAAAAAGGAAAAATAAAAATAAAATCGTAAAATATTAAACAATTACTAAAAATTGTCCAAGCCAGCGTCCACGTCAGCAATTTTCAGCCAATCAATTAGCAAGAAATGAAATGGTTTATGACTCAATTGATAAAATTGAAATATTTGGAATTCAATCGACAAAAATGTAATAAATCTAGGATTTTTTAGATAATTTTTCTTATAAAAAGAATAATGAGCCCAAAATTGAATAACAATGAGGATCTCTGCACTTTTGATAAATTAAAGGGAAAAAACCACCAAAAACCCCAAACTTTGCCATCTGTGACACATTTACCCCGAACTTTTTTTGTGACACCAAAAACCCCGAACTTTGCTTTTTGTGACACATTTACAATGTATTTAGTCCATGGGCATTTTCGTCTTTTTGCTTTTTTTTTTTTTTTTTTTTTTTTTCCTTTCCGTGAAGGGGGCCTCGCCGGATCCGTGAGGATCGCCCATCGCGAGATCCGGCGAGGGGGCCTCGCCGCGCCGAGCGAGGGCGGCCCTCGCCGAGATCCGGCGAGGCGGCCCTCGCCGGCGTCGGCGAGGTTCGCCCTCGCTCGAGCTCGGGCGAGGCCGCCTCGCTCGCCCAAGCGAGGCGACCTCGCCGGCGTCGGAGAGGTTCGCCCTCGCTCGGGCGAGCGAGGCCGCCCTCGCCCGGCTCAGCGAGGTCGACCCTCGCCGGCGTCGAGCGAGGGTCGACCTCGCTTGAGTCGGGCGAGGGCCGCCCTCGCTCGGCCGGCGAGGGCCCCCTCGCGGAAAGGAAAAAAAAGAAAAACAAAAAAAAGCAAAAAAGACGAAAATGCTCATGGACTAAATACATTGGGGTAAATGTGTTACAAAAAGGAAAGTTCGGGATTTTTGCCACAAAAAAAGTCGAATGATGTATAGAAGAAAGTTGGGGTTTGTGTTTTTCCCTAAATTAAATAACAAAAGTCAAACGCATCGATACCCACTTGATATGTTGGATCTCTGCTTCACTTTCACTTCGTCTGGGGAAGTGGGAGGGTATGAACAAGGAGGAGGAGGAGGAGGAGGAGGTAATGGAAACGGGGAAGATAGTGATAGAGAAAGTGAGGGGCAAGTCGACAGTCACCAAATCATTCTCCAAGTATCCCCTCAAGTTCATCATCCCTCGCAAGGTTGCTCAGTCTTGTTTTTTCCTCGGTCTTGTTCATGCCCTTTTCATTTCTTTCTTCTATCCGCCAAATTCAAGACTGAATCGCTTGTTTCTCCAGGTGGGTCCTTCGCGGGTCGATGCCGTTTGGATTTATGCTCTCGCCTATGGCGGTGGCATCATCTCCGTGCGTTTTCACTTCCCATCTTTCATAATATTTTTGAATTGGCAATTCAAGAATTTCAATTCTTTACTAGAAATGTGTGAAGGCATGTTGGTTAGTGTGAGGTTCGAGTTAGTCTTGTTGGGTCGTGTCGTGTTTGGTGTTTTTTCTATGGGTCCGTGTGGCGGTCTCATGATGAATATTCGATGGAGGGGAAATGGTTCAGAACTGCATGTTTAATGGGAATTGATCTGTTGTTGATTTAGGGAGATGCTATTTCTTGTAAGCTTGAGATTGGAGATGGTTGCACAGCTGTCTTAACAACTCAATCTTCCACTAAGGTTGGTTCTTCCAGCTTCTGTTGGTTTGGCAATAATATATGTTGCTGGAATCTGCAAGCTATGCAGCTTTAGGATTTAGTAGTGCAGTCTCTGTGGATTTCGGTGATGTGAATTTGCTTCTGATGCTTGAAAGTTAAGGGTGTTGCAGGTTTATAAGTCTCTGGGATCAAAATGCTCTGAACAGTACCTTGAGGTAATTATGATTTCGCGCTTTTTGGTATTCCGTGCTCCTTTTTTGAGGCTTTCTTGTTATTACTATCTTGGTTTCCCAGTTGTTGCATGGCAGTACGATTTTATCCTCTTTTTTTGTTAGCTGAAGTCACGGTGAATTTGTTAAATTAAGTGTAACTTTCAAATGGAATTACATTCCTATGTGACAGTGCGGCTATATTATTGCAATGCAGTAGGCAGAAATTGGGAGCGACTCCATGTTGGTTCTCATTCCGGATCCAGTGACTTGTTTTTCCACTGCGAGGTACTTCCAAAAGCAGGTTTTTAGGGTGCGTTCGGATTCAAACTTGGTCCTAGTCGACTGGATTACAAGCGGACGGCATGAAAGCGGAGAAAAATGGGATTTCACGCTTTATAAGAGCACCAACAACATTTTCTTAGAGGGTGAGCAGCCTTTATTTCTCGACACGGTAATGGTTTTGTTTTTTCCATAGTTTAGGATCTGTTTCAGAATTTTAGTATTAAGAGTACCCTCTGTTTCTAATACTTTTGGCCCTATCCTGTGAGAATGCAAAAATAAAAAGGAGGATAGAAACATGTGAATTCCAATGAATGATGTTCCAATAATTGCAATTTGTGTTATGGATAGGTTGAGAAAGAAGCAATATGAGTTTACGACCTCCCTTTTCGGCTTACGCTTATGAAGATTGCTCTTCTGTGACTTCATTTGACTAATCAAATATTTGAACAGGTATTGCTAGAGCAGGGAAGTATTGTTCCTCTGGCAGAACGCATGCAGGATTATCAAGTCATTGCAATGGTTGTACTTTTAGGGTAAATATAGCGGGCTTTCGAAGTTCCCATTGCACAGTCTTTTCAGTTGTACTGCTGATATCAGGGTTATTGACTGCACGAGAAACTTATGTCCATATATACCAATGAACGTTTGCTTCTTTGCAGGCCAATGTTGAGGCATATTCAAGGCCAAGTTCAAGAAGATGTAAAGAGGATGATGGCCGAGCAACTACAAGGTTCTCCTGTTCGATGGGATTGCCAGATAACTTCCAATACACGTGATTTTGCCAAAAAACCATCCTTAATAGCGTCTTGCAGTGCCTTTGGCCATAAGGTACCCTTTTTTTTAATCGACGAACACAAAATCAGGGTGCTTCATGGGATAAGGTTTTGGGAACTATAAACTGCTAATCCATTTGTTAGGTTGTTTTGGACCCAAGTTTTTCAAAATCGTTCCTGACAGTAACCTAACGCTTTTGAAACCTGAACCATTGTGCAAACCTTTCAATGAATTTTTATTTTACATATTGGTCATTATAGACCACTGAAGAAGGGAATTTCCTTTTCTATTTCCCGCATTTGAAAAAAGTAATGTAGTTCTGCACTAAAATAATATGAGGTTCTTGCTGTTTTCCTGAAATCGATTTTTGAGATTATAAAAGCTTGGCATTAGGTATGTGATCATTGAACCCTTGAGCGGGTGTCTTGAGCCTGAACTTCCAGAAAAGATTATAGATGTCACCCTGGCGAGCTGCATTCTGCAATGCTGTCTCAGTTGGTTTGATTGACATATAATATTTGTTTTAGTTGCTCATCTTGCTTTTCAGTATCTTGTCTGAGATATTTAAATCGTCAGCTTGTTCAGTTTTCAGTTCTTACTTCCGCTTTTAAGTCATTAGTCCAAGAGAATTAATAAGCTTTTTGTACAGGTTATTCTTTACCGTCTTTATCTTTTATAGCCAAGTTATAATGGTTTTTGTTGCCTTTACTGGTCCTTAACAAGTAAAACTGTGTCATTCATCGGTGGCCGCGTTGGTTTGCGCTCATTTCCTTTCACGAGAGGTCCTGGGTTCAAACTCGCCCATCGGTGATTTAAGTGGGGGGTCGTGGCGGTGGGATGCTGCGCTAGCCCCCCTCGAGGACTAGTCGGGCATCACCGCTGGTTTGAGCCCTAGCTCGCCGGCCGCACGGACACCTCGGTTATAAAAAAAAAAAAAAAAAACAAGTAAAACTGTGTCAATGTCTTGGTGGCTCGATCATTTCCCAGTTAGTTGCTTTGATATCGTATGGTAAAAGCAACAAGTGTGAACCAAATTTGTAGACACAGACACCACTAGCTTAGATGTTTTTTCAAGGTGCCTTTGATAATTAATGTTTAAAGCCTGATGATACTTTTTATACAGGGAGGAGGGATCATTGTTCGAATAGCTTCCTTGACAACCGAATCAGTTTATCAATTCCTGAAGCATCAATTAGCTGGCTTGGAGGCATTGCTGGGGGTGTTGCCTTACTCTTGAAGAATTGCGGGTAACAGGAGCTCTCACCCAGCCTTTTCTGGTCCGCACGCAAAGTTGTCAAAAAGGTTGACCAACGTTCTTTATTTAGGTATGTGTCAAAAAGGTTGCTGTCTTGGTGACAGAGGTTTTGATTGTTGCTGTTCTTGTATATCCCGGCTCAACATCAAGAAGCATATCCCAGCTCCATAGAAATTGTGTGTTGACAGTTCAAAATTTGTTAATTTTTCCGAGTTCCCGTTTCGATACATTTACCATCATCGTCATCGCTGAACATGGAGAACACTTGCCAATTGCCACTAGTCCCGGTTGCCGGGTACCATTCACTGACGTTCGTCTGGACATGATTGGATAGGTGAAACTCAATGTATTTTGCGTTGATTGAACTGTAAGTTTGCGATTCAGCTTGCAAGTTAAACAAGACGAAATGAAAGCAGCTCCTTCTCATCGATGAGAACAAAAGTGGAAGCGCATTACCCAACTGGGTAAAAGTGGAATAACAATATGTTAGCTTCTTCCAATGGTTATAATATGATGAATGCTAAAAAACGGACTGATCGGGTAAATGCTATAAATATATGATTTATTGGCACTGTTCAACCATAATTATATGTAGTTTTATATCATCAATTATATTTCAAATAGTTTAAGTTTATGTTATTGACATTATGAGTAATATTTCTCGGCTTACTTTATCATTAAACTAAATGGATTCTGATCATTCATATATTCAGAATAATATATATTATTTAATAAAATTACTTTAAGATATTTTATCTTCATATATTGTTTTTTTAGTATCAAACCAAAAGAGATAAAATTTTCAAATTATGAGTGTTTTTTCTTTTCAAGCTGACACATACTTTTAAAAATGTATTTCAAGACATTTTTGTCTAGATTCAAATGATCTAGTTTATAGTTGTGCGCACTAGTATTGTTTAGGAAATATTTCCTCTGCTTTCCCTCTCTACTGCATTCTTACAATTTAGTTCCCGTTTTGTAAATAGTCAAGGGCAAACTATTTGGAATGTCCATTGAAATCTCAAGACCTGTCAAACAGAGAGATCGAATAAAAAATGGTTCGACTCAAATTGAGTTATTTAACCCGTTTTAACTCATTTCCGTGCAATAAAAATCTAGTAACCAATACTCGACCCGATTTATATCGTTAAAATACTTCTATATTTAACCCAATTAAGAAAAAAAAAACTCATGTCTAAATTAAGATGAAAGCACAGAGTGAGCGAGTGCGAGATCGAGTGAGGGCGAGAAAGAGCCAACAGAGAATCATAGAGGTGGGTTAAGTCTAAATAAGTTGAGAACCCATTTAACATATATTTATGACCTATAGAGTTGGATCTAAACCCATTTATGACCCATAGAGTTGGGTCATATTACTGAATATAACCAACTTATATAACAACCCAGCCCATCAAATATGAGTTAAGACGTTGAGAGGTCTACCTGAAAAATAATTGTGTTTTTCCTTCTCCACTCACTGTAGGGCGGAAAGTATTCTTGAGGATGGTACTTGCATGTTGCATGCCTCAGACAATCATAAATATCAAATTTCCATTACGTGATTCTTGGATTTTTAAAACACAAAATGCTTTTAATAGGTAAAAAAAGGTTGAAAGTGCCATATTGGGGAGATTGTGGCTCACCGGATGTGGCGGTTTCAGCGTCATCAGCCACCACTGCCGCCGTCGCATCCTCTTTGTCCCGTCGCCGTTTCGTTCCCTTCGATGGCGACGAAGATGATGGCTCTTGCACCGACATGCGATTTTGGTGTTCAGTTTCCAGAGCTTGCTCGCTAGTCGCTATTCAGTCGAATTCGTCAGAGTCCCACAGATTGGGGGTTCGCGATAAATTGTGCAAGGAACAAAAAGGATAATCACACAAATGGCCCTTAAATTTTGATCCAATGTAAAACGTGGACTGTGGCATTCTGAATTTCGACCTATTTTCGGGATTTATGAAATGATTATCTCATCGATGCACTTCCAGTTAAATCTCACTCTGAATTGATCACTCATGAGAAGACTAACCGTTAGGGAATGGCTAGTTAGGAATTAAGTACGCACGACCTAAGAACTTGACCATGAATTGACACTTCGACCGTAAGGATTGACGAGGGGATATTTTGGGTTAATATAGACTGATCCAAGGATGATTATGGAATGATTTGCTAATGTTATACAATTGGATGGTAGGTGATTCTGTTTGGCCATTGTACTTACGAACATTCCTAAACCAATTTCTAACGATCGTGTCCTTCGAAACTAGTGATTGACTCTCGCAATTACATAACAATCGAGGTCACCATGGTTTGAGTAAATTTAAACGTGGCTTGATATCACATCAACCACGGGTTGAATATGCGTAACTCCTAAAAGCCGCTTGTTAGTTTGAGATATACTAAAGTCGCAATTGATCGATTTTGGCCATGAATTGGAATTCGAACTTGGGCATCAAACTTTCAAGGATATCAAAACTATTATATTGGACGTTGCCTCATTAAGCTCGCTTAGTTATCGATTTGCTCGGAAATTCTTAAAAAATGTGAAATTTGGCTCGGAATTTGGAAAAGACCCTTTCACCCCTTAGTGTTACACGACTTCTTGGTTGAGTGGAAGGGCATGTTGGTCTTTGTAACCCCTAGTGTGAACGAATTTCTTGGACAGAATTGCCCCTTTTGCTTTGGTTATTTTCTTAATTGCCCTTTCTATAAACATTTTCAAGAAGCAACCCTAGCCTTTGGATCTTGACTTGGGGGACCAAAGGATGATCTCAACCCTTCATTTGGATGATGTTGTTCAGCCATTCTCTCTCTCCTCCATCATTTTCAGATCAACCACTTCACTTTATTCACTCACTCTCTCACTCTCCCTTTTTGTTCGGCCAAGCCACCATCCACCACCATCATCGACCAACTACCACCCTCACGCCACCACCAGCTCCTCCACACGTGAACCACCACCCCTAGACGCCGTTCAAGACGTGACCAGCCGCCGTCACCACTGTTCGCCGTTTGCCGTCCGTCGTGGCCGAGGTAGCTGCTACATGACGGGACCATTAGCTGCTGGTTTAGTGACACTTTTGGCTTAGGATTAGTGGTAAGTAACTTCCTAAATCTTGATTAGGTTGATGGGTGACTAATGGATTAGTTTAGGGGCTGATTAGTGGTTAATTTTGGGCTAATTAGTGGCTAATTTTGGGCTGATCTTGAGCTGATTAGTGTATGGCTTATTAGTGGTTAATCATGTGGTTTAATGTTAATCATGTGGCTTATGTGGCTGATCATGTGTTTGGGGTAATCTGTGGCTTAGATTGATTGATCTTATGCTAATAAATAATCATATGGCTAGAATAGTTTGATCATGGCTAATCATGTGTTGGATTGTTGATCATGTGATTCAATAAGTTGATCATGTGGTTTGAATTGGCTGATTATGTGATCATAGTTAATCGTGTGGCTAGAATGGTTTGATCATGGCTGATCATGTGTTGGATTGTTGATCATGTGGTTCAATAAGTTGATCATGTGATTTGGATTGGCTGATCATGTGATCATAGTTAATCGTGTGGCTTAGAATGATTGATCATGTCCTAATTGTTTGATCATGTGGTGCAAATGCTAATCGTGTGGCCGATTGTGTAATTAATGTGGATCGTGTGGTTGTGATTGATGATCATGTGGTTAATTAGTTTAATCATGGCTGATTAAGGGATTAACGTTTGATCGTGTGGTTGTGATGACAATCATGTGGCCAATTAGATGATCAATGGTGGATCTTATGCTTGAAGATTGATCTTGTGGCTTGATAATGGATCGTGTGGTTAATCATGGCTAATCTTGGTGTATCGTGGCGAATTGTGATTAGATAATGATGTTTGATATGGTTATGAGTGCGATTCATGACATGTTCGTTCGTAGGAAAAATGCACGTCATAAACACTCTGCATTGGCTAATTAAGAAAGATAAAAATTGGCAATGAGTAAGTTTGCGTGCATGGCCATGACAAGTTCCGTCTAGGCAGAAGTTCTAGACGATGCTCAGTGGGTGTTTCGATGCCGTCTAGGTGGGGGTTCTAGACGTTGCTGATCGCGGTGGAGGCCGGATCGATGCTTTTTATTGAAATGCCGTTGGGTACCCGACTTGCCGGAGGGTGTTCGATCCCCAACGTTGCCCCGCCCGAAGTAGCGGGGCGATGCCCGGCTAGACCGGAAGACTAGCGGGGGTTTGGTGTGGCCCGAGGGGTCGTTAATAATCTCTGGACAACTACGAATGTTATTTGCTTTGGGGAATGCTTTGTGTTCAAGAGTGATATTTGAATATGTCTGGATTATTAATTGTCGATATGAATGTTTATGCAATGCCATAATTTGTTTGTGTTTGGTGAGTACGCGTGGTATGGTGATACCTTTGGGTATTCATTGGAACATATATTATGAATTGCAAGTTGGTTGTGCCAAGGAAAAGTTTTGCTATTGAGTTACCATGATAGATAGGATTGCATGATTAGGGTGATCCAGAGGTACGTGTTACCCTAAGCGAGACTTAGGAAGTTTACTTATTGAGATTTATTCTTATTGTTATTTTCCCCAAACCTTTCAGACCCCCGACCATGAACCTCAATGGTCCTCCACAACGTTTTGGGATCCAAATGGATATGGACCATATGTTGACGGAGTTTCCGGTAGGTGAAGATAGGGTGTATGTTAGGCATGCCAGTACAATTTGGGTAGACGAGGACGAGGCCGCTTGGAAACCCCACACCTTTTTAGCTTGGTTTTATCGGGATGGAGATGCATTGTTTGGTCCACTACACGGGTTTGATGGTCCTCCCAACGACGGAGTAGAAGAGTGGGACCCCATGGAGATCATGCCACCAGACATAGTTGTCACTAGTCCGGACACTAGTCCCCTGAAGATTCGGATCCCGAGTCGGAGCCTATGGAGTCTAACCCCGAGTCGGAGCTTGTTGAATCCGAACCCGAGCCATCCGACGACATGGCTGATCCGGGTTTGCTTGAGTACATCGAGTCCGATTTAGAGACGCTGCCTGGGCATCATGGGGGTGACTGATAGGTGTAGTGCTTCCGTCCATTGTGTACATCTTTTGGTAGAGAAGTTAGGCTAACCTAACCACCCGACCCTTTTTGATGTGTGTGGTTTGAAGTAAAGGCCTCTAGTAAGGCTTGTATGTAGTGCTGTTGTAAGTAACGTTATGTTTATAAAGTGGTTT